TTGATTGTTTAACAAATTCTCCTTTTCAGCACCTTAGGAAATGTATAGAGAACAGTATGAAGATCACTGAAGAATATTAATACAGATGTTATTGTTTAAAGAGTTAAACAATTAAAATCCTTTTGTGCAACGGGTCAGTTCATTATTGATCAAACTTAATGGAAGCATTGATATAGAAAATGTTATGACTTTTTTAGGATTCCTTGGGTGGAAACACTAAGACATTGATGTTTGCATGTCTGAGTCCTGCTGACAACAACTACTATGAAACTCTGAGTACTTTGTGCTATGCAAATCGTGCAAAGAATAATAAGAATAAACCCAAGATCAGTGAAGATCCAAAAGATGCACTTCTAAGGGAATACCAGGAGGAAATCCAGAAACTTAAAGCAATGTTGATGGGGCAGATGGAAATTCCAACAGATTTTGCAACAGGTAAGGAAAATATTTAAATTTTACTTTGAATGTTGCAATAGCAGTTTATATCTGTATGATACAAGTCTAAAATTTTATACTTTTGTATATGAACTTCAGCTGGAGCCCAGCCCTTTGTTCCTGCTCGTCCTATAGCTGCCCCACCAGAGGATCACACAGTCATTGTGGCCAGGGAAACTGAAAATCTCAGGCAAGAGTATGAGGCAAAGCTGGCTAAGATGAAATCATCTTATGAAGCAGAACTTATGTCCAAACAGAAGCTCCAAGTAGAAATGGAACAGCTACAAAATGATTACAACAGAAAGGCACACAATGTTGAAGAACAGTACAGTGGCAGGACTGCTTTGACAACAGTCACCCCAGTAGGGGTGGGGACAGGTGATCTGCCAGAAGAGAGTGCTATCAGTATGATTGCCTTGGCAAATGAGACGGTGAGTACTTAAAGTCACTTATGAGGGCTACCAAACAGTGGGGCAGCTGTAGTTTGGTTTTAAATGTTGATGTAAATGTAAGTTACATCCTGATTATAAATGGCATCGTCTTAAGAGTCTTGTTTGTGGGACAAATTTTATCCTTTATTCCTGAAATGAGTTTTTGCCAGTTAGTGTGCAAAGATCTCAGCCCTGTGATAGAGTAGAGTAGATTTTACTGGAAAACAACATTGCAGGCCGAAAGCTGAATTACATGAATTTACAATGAATTTACAACAACAACAACAACAGGTTTTATTACCAAGAATAAGATTTAAACTTAATTCACAATATAATCTAGTAATACAAGAGAGGTAACATTTACTCAGAATAACTAAAAAGCTAATCGAGCCGAGTAAATCAATGTATAAAGTTAAATTTAAAAGAATTTTAAAAAATATGAAATGTACTTCAATCTAAAAAAAACGTTTATGTATACTCTTGGTATATAAGTTATAGTTTGGAAAAGTGTTGGGAACATGAAATGGCAGCCGTTCATGAAGAAAAACTTAATCAAAATATTTAATGGCATGGGTCGTCATAAGAAATAGACTGGTACAGTTTGGTTTTACAGACAGCTAGGTACAGTGAATTTGTGAGTGCGCCTTGTGTCTGTTTACCTTTCCTCATGCTCCATCCTCACAAATGTTTTTGTCTGTAGATGTGTCTGTCTGTATGTTTACAGTATGTTTATTTGAATTTCAATCTCTGTTTGTATGTCTTTCCTATATCTCCCTGTCAATCATTTGGCTGTGTGTCAATCCATACTTTTTCAGTCTGTCTCACATTTCTAATTTAAATTAATTTATTGGCGTCGCAGGCAGGCAGGAACCCCGCAACAGCCTGTGCCAATTACTGTAGGCCTTGTAAATTCCCCACCCAATACAGCCCAGGGGAGGACATCCATCACAAAGTAATCTCTTGCATAGGAAATTAGCATCTCCTACCCCTAACTCTGCAGGAGACGGGGCCTATGGTTTATTTCTTCTTATCCAAGAGGACTAGAATATCTATCCATTTCTTGATATTATAGAAAGACCGGCTGGCGCTTCAACCCGGGACATCACGCACAACACAATCTGACGCTCTAACCAATTGAGCTAACCGGGGAGCGGTTCTGTCCTCTCTGTGTCTGTAAGTCTGTCTTTTTGTCTGTCCGTCTGTCTGTCAGTACTCCCTCTCTCTCTCTGTGTCTGTCTGTCAGTACCCTCTCTGTCTGTCTGTCAGTACTCTGTCCGTCTGTCAGTACTCTCTCTCTGTCTCTCTGTCAGTACTCTCTCTCTCTCTCTCTCTCTCTCTCTCTGTCTGTCAGTACTCTCTCTCTCTCTCTCTCTCTGTCAGTACTCTCTCTGTCTGTCTGTCAGTACTCTCTCTCTGTCTGTCTGTCAGTATTCTCTCTCTCTCTCTCTGTCTGTCAGTACTCTCTCTGTCTGTCTGTCAGTATTCTCTCTGTCAGTGTCAGTACTCTCTCCGTCTGTCTGTCTGTACTCTGTCTGTCTGTCTGTACTCTCTCTGTCTGTCTGTCAGTACTCTCTCTGTCTGTCTCTCAGTACTCTCTCTGTCTGTCTATACTCTCTCTGGCTGCCTGTCAGTACTCTCTCTGTCTGCCTGTACTCTCTCTGGCTGTCTGTCAGTACTCTCTCTGTCTCCCTGTACTCTCTCTGGCTGTCTGTCAGTACTCTCTCTGTCTGTCTGTCAGTACTCTCTCTGTCTGCCTGTACTCTCCCTGGTTGTCTGTCAGTACTCACTCTGTCTGTACTCTCTGGCTTACTGTCAGTACTCTCTCCGTCTGTCTGTACTCTCTCTGGCTGTCTGTCAGTACTCTCTCTGTCTTTCTGTCTGTCAGTACTCTCTCTGTCTGCCTGTACTCTCTCTGGTTGTCTGTCAGTACTCTCTCTGTCTGTCAGTACTCTCTCTCTGTCTGCCTCTACTCTCTCTGGCTATCTGTCAGTACTCTCTCTCTCTGTCTGTACTCTCTGGCTGTCTGTCAGTACTCTCTCTCTCTCTCTCTCTCTGTCTGTCAGTATGTACTGTCTCTGTCTGTCTGTCAGTACTCCGTCTGTCTGTCTGTACTCTTTGTCTGTCTGTCAGTACTCTCTCTGTTTGTCTGTCTGATGGTTTTTGTTAGTCTGTCTGTCCATCTGTCTGACTGTTCTCACAGACTATATTCTGTGTCCCTCCAACCTCCTAGTGTCTTCAGTGTATCTTTCTCTTTTCAACGCGCGTTTTATGATGACAGGCTAGGCGCGAACATAAGAGTTCAATTAACTTTTTGTTTCCATTGAATCTTGACAGGATCAGCGACCAAACGCAAGATTAGATGTGATAACAGGACCTTTACAAGGCATGCAAGATTCAGGCCATGATCAGAGTAGTCAGAGTGCATTTCAGGTGGTTCAAGACAAGGCTTTTAAGGGTGTCCAGGGGGTGAAAAGCCTTATACCAGGACTTGAAGACTTACGGTTTTTAAGTCAGGGCCTTCCAAACGATGCACTGGTCAAAACACTGCAAGAACTTCAAGAGAAATTTGTGGGTGGCGAGAAAAAAAATGACCAGAGGTTAAAAGAGAAGAGAAAGGCAAGGAAAAACTATGCTCTGTCACAAAGAGAAAAACTTGCCAAGGCAGCCAAGAAGATGGAAGATGATGGAATAATGGTTAAAGTTTACGATAATTTACAGGATGAAATAAAAGGCAAGAACAATGTCATCAATGAGATGCAAGGGAAATTAAAGTCTGCGCAGTCAGAGTTCGACGATCTGCAAACAGAATTCGAACGCGATCGTGAAGATTACTTGGAAACGATTCGTAAACAGGAGCAAATGATAAAGCTTCAGCAACAAATTTTAGATAAGATACAGCCATGCATTCGCCGTGACTGTAATTATTATAACATTGACAAGATGCGCGCGGAGAGCTCGTGGAGCGACGAATTAGGAAAATGGAACATCCCTGAACTTGTCATTACGAAGACGACTCTTCCAACCCCAGGGATTATGCCGGGTGCGGGTACCCCCGCCCGAGGCCGGAAGTCCCCCATTAATAGACCCCAGATGAACAGTCAAAGCCAACCTGTTAATGGACACATGGGGGGGTATCCTGAGGAGCCAAGCGAAGATCTCTTTCTGAAACATCTCTCGCGGAGCTCTCATGAAGATTACGCATCGAGTTATTTTAAACCCAAGAGAGCTGGCCGCCTTTTGGCTGAGAACAACCGGTTTGAACGATTCGACAGACGAGAGTCACCACCCTCAGGGGGATCCCGCCCTCCGCTCGGATTCCTAGGGGCTGGAGGATCAAGCGGAAACTTAACCAGTGGGGCATCCCAGGGAAGTGTGGGCGGGATGCCCGCTATGGGAAGACCGGTCAGACTTGAATCACTGCACATGCCTGGAGAAAAGGAGAAAAAGAAAAAGAAGAATAAGAACGTAGACGAGAAAAGAAAGGAAGATTGGTGATTGAACTACTTGGCGTACTATT